AGGTAACTCCAGATAAATCTCCACAAATGTAAGATGGCCTCCGCCGAGCTTCTTCTCAACTTTGAGAAGGGCGGCTACGACGTGGCTTTTGTCCAGGAACCGTGGATTGCATCGGGTAACGTGGTTGCTGGGCTAAAGTCACCAAACTACACAACATACACCCCGCGCGTGAATAACAGGGTAAGAACATCTTTCCATAGATGACCTGGCGGTTGTGGCAGTAAAGGGTGTCAAGGATGAGACTTTACTCCTTGCATCCTATAATATGCAACGGCAGAGCTTCAAAGGCTGGTGGCTACAACCAGCATAAATAAGCAGGCGTTGGTGGCGCTGATGCTAACGCCCATCATACGATTTAGGACAGCTCCGACATTAATCGAAGATGTGAGTCCTTACTCAATTTTATTTTACAAAGGGGTCCAGGGGTAGCTAATAGAGGTGAGGAACCTATCTATATTGCACCCACTCCAGAAAAGTCCTAGACATAACGCTCTATACCAGTAGAAATGCAATGGTAGAGAATTGGAGGGTGCTAAGCACATTGTCATTCTTTGACCATAGGTACATCTACTTCTCCATTAAATCGGATGCAAAGATCAGAAAAAGGTGAGGAGAAATCCCAGAAACACAAACTGCAATATCTACAGGCAAATAAAATACGGCAAGAGACTTAGGCCTTGCGTGTAATGAAGAGCTTAAAAGGTGCGTAACTATATTCACAAATACTCTTAATACAGCTTTTTATCACGCTTGCTAAAAACGAAGCCCTGTTGCTAAAACAAGGAGCTTGAGTCTTGTAGACGCAGAGTACGGGAATTTTTCAACTGGGCGAAGCTAACGGAAAGCCACAACTGTTGGAACGAGTATAAAAATGTCCTAAGGGAATACAAAAAATTGGTGCGCAGGAAAAAACGACAATCCTAGAAGAACTTTTGTAGCAGCTTAAAAAATACTAACAAAGTGCAGAGGCTCACAAAACTATTATTTAAAAGCGCCCCCTCGCCCGGTATAATTCGCAAAAGTTGGACTCATTAGAAGGCCTAGTCCGTGTGCACTTTCCTGGCTGTAACAATACATGTGATATGTCCTAGCTGTGAAGGCAATAGCGCTGTAAACTTCACCGAAAACATCATAATAGAGAATTAAATAAAATCCGCTCCTTAGACCCATATAAATCTCCCGGTGGAGTCGTTCCAGCCATGCTGCAGAATGCGCTTTTTCTATCCGTACCTTGGCAAAAGGAAAAACGGATCTGATTGCGTTAACAATAAAGTACAAAATCCCTACATGGAGGCTCCCTTCGATAAATGGGACACAGTTCTCTCTCAAGGACCGCACCAAGTAACTTGAGGTAGTCTTGGACACAAGCTGCTGTGGAGGCACTATGTGGTAGTAAGAGTGAGAACGGCTAGTAGTGCCATATATGCGTGTAGGCAGATGCTCGGTACAACCTCTCTCATGTACTGGTGCTACACAGCTATTGTTCGATCAATTCTGCTCTACGATGCAGTAGTATGGTGAATAGGCATACGGAAATCCACCTACCGGAAGCCAATGGAAATAGTTCAGAGACTCGCTGCGCTGTGCATAATGGGAGTTTTAAGGAGCACTCCAACGGCGGACCTTGAACTAGGGCTAAGCCTGCCACCTATAGACCTCTTCGCTGAAAACTGCGCAGAAAAATGGGCGGGGCGACTACTGGCTGCAGGAGAATTTACATATAGAGAAAACATAAGAAAATATGGTTGGCAGTATGTTAGCTAAACGCAACACACTAAACATTTGTATGGATGGCGCGAAAATGTATGACGAAGTTGGTGTAGGGATATATTGTCCAAAGTTAGGCACAAAGCAAACTTTTAAGTTAACCTATGTGATATTGCCAAAAATAGATAAAATCGGGTCAATACTACAATCTCCGATATACATTATATCAAATTTTCAAACCTACGCTTACCGTTATACCGTATATACGGTCAATATGTAAAATATCGTACGAAAAAATAAGTAAAAGTACAATATAGGATATTCTAGTTTAATGCCAATAATGTGTGAATTACCCTAATTCCCATATCCTACAAATAAAGACTTTCGTTATTCTAACTTTATTATGTCGGTTAATGTGTAAGTTATCTAATATATAAAATTCTCTTCTTTGTTGCCGAACTTCTTTCAAAACGATCTGACAGATTTTGATGAAATTTGATATGCTTATTGGGTAGGTCTGAGAATCGGCCAACATCCTTTGCCTTTGTTTCGAAAAAATGTTGACGCGGCGCAGTGTACAATCGAATGTCTTGAGCTGTCGATGATCCGGTTTTTTTTGTTAGGTGATTTCATGCATGTTACTCTTTAAGGTTGAGTATGGTGGTGTCGTCGTGTGGGGTGAAATTCCTTGAGTCCTCGCAAGTGTGGTGTGTTTTTTGTTTTTTTGTATTGTTTGTTTAAAATTTCTTTACCACCGGCTTATTAAGTTTAGCGACTCCACGTCTGGCTCAGATATGGCCAGAATGGGTGCTCCTTTGAAACCTTTGAAGAGGGATCTTGTGAGTGTGAGATTTGTGATTTTCGCTCACTTTTTTGAAATAGGATTTGAAGCTTTTTATAGCTCATTCTAAGAACCACCCATATAAAGAACGCTTAGATAGATACGATTAGTGCCAACTTTGCTTTTTGTAAGTCTAGGTGCGTCACTGTAACACATTGGGAGTATGGTGATTCCTTAACTTTATTATACTCTCGCTACATGTTGCTACAGAGTATAATAGTTTTGTTCACCTATCGGGTTTTTGTATCACCTAAAACTAATCGAGTTAGATATATATATATAAATGATCAGGAAAAGGAGACGAGCTGAAATCCGGGTGACTGTTTGTCCGTCCGTCCTTGCAAGCTGTAACTTGAGTAAAAATTGAGATATCTTTATGCTACTTGGTACACATGTTTCTTAGTACCTGAAGACGGTTGGTATTGCAGATGGGCGTAATCGGATACTACCACGCCCACAAAACGCCATTAATCAAATACAAATAAATTGCCATATTTATATATTTCATTTTAAAGTGATTGTGGTCGTCTCATAGATTTAATGTGCATATCTCCTTAACCACTAAAGCTATTATAACGAAATTCACTAAAAACGAACGTTATTAGCACCTTTATCCAGCACCAGTGTGAAAATGAGTGAAATTAGGTGACAACCCCACACACTCCCCATATAACGTTACTGTTAAAAACTACTAAAAGCGCGATAAATCAAGCACTAAACACGCCAGAGGCATTAAATTTTATATCTGAGGGCATTGCACCGCCCACTTTTAGGTGAAACCACATATCTTGGGATCTGCTTAACCAATTTCAACAAAATTCGGTACATAATATTCTCATATTTCTATATTATAGAAACCACGCCTATTTCCCATATAACACCATTTTAAATTCCGTCTGATTCTTTCACTTTCCACTATGCAAATAAAGCAACAATGATTGTATGGGGGTAAAACTTTGCGTGAATATTGCGTTTAGGGTATGCCGCCTTGTCAAGACCCTAGATACCGAAAATTTTGCCATCACCAGAAGTAAGTTGCGAGAGTATATAATGATCGGTAACACCCGAACTTAGAACTTCCTTACTTATTTATTTATTGTTTTTATATTTTGTGAATTCAAAATGTTTTTTTTATATACTGCGAAGTACAATCTATACAATTAGGTTCTGAATATAAGATCATTAAAATTGCCTCGACGACTTCTTTTGCAATGACATGACAGAAATGGCGGAACCGACACTTAGAAATCAAATATTCCCTATTGGAAAAAACGCAATTATAGGTCATAGACCAAATTGTTTTTATAACTTGACGAGTATAGGGTCTATTGGGGCCAGAAAAGGTTTGAGCTGTTTGCAGGAACTATTGACATCGGTCAGTATGTAAGAAATCCTTGTAATATCTTTCATAACTTCTCTGCAGATTTTTTTTCCATGGTGATTCGCCAACAAGTGATTCCGACACATATGAACGCGCAACATATAGCTTCCACAAGGAATTCCGTACGATAAGCACGATCTGTTCCGGCTTCTTCCTTGAACTTTCGAATTTTCTCCAAGTTACGTCCATTTAATCGATTAAGGTACGGGAGCCTGAAAATATCTTGGGTGGCACTAATGTACAATACTATAAGGAAGTGTTAGAAATTTCAGGGATTCTGTTATGTACATTATTATGAGAACATCAATGTGACTTGATTGCAGCTCGGTAGATAGAGGTAGGTACGTATCATGCACCAAAATTTCAGTGCCGTTGTCCACTTGCACATTAGTCGATCTATCACTGATAATGGTGATTCCGTCGTCCACGCGAGTGATTGCATCCAAGTTGCTCAGTTGTATTTCGCAATGCGCTGTGCCTCCAGCATGGTCTTTTCTACCGCAAGGGCTTCCCGCTGCAAGCCGACAAAACGTTGCCGTTAGAGAAACAATGCAATTTTCGATAGCGTGAGTTGCCCAGTGCTCAAACCATAGCCAGTAGCTGTCCTTCAATGCTCTTGAAATCATTGTGATTGGACGTCCTTCTTGGGATAGCACTGCATGTGTGCAATAGGCTGGATCATCGGTCATTAGATCAAATGGCTTCTTGTAATCTGTATACCTAAGCATGACATCTTCAGACGCCAAGATTATGAAACACCTGTCATTGCGCTTCTGTGAACTTCACTGGACTATTCCCCGATCTATGATTACTGACCGTTCCATCTTCCCCTTTTAATATTTCAGAAATAGGCCTTGCTATCGCCGCGAAGCCTGTTATGAGACACCTACAGCAACTCGTGAGGGCAGGACCGCCCTTATCAAATACTGTTTTGGGCCCTGAAAATGTTTGAATAACCTTTACTTTCACCAGGTCTATTTTCGTGTCATTACTGGTGACTATGAACCCAAGAAAGACGCGAGACTTCTCGTCTTCTGAGAAGATGATCAATGTAAACCTAGAAAAACTTACCGATTTTCTCATGTATGGTATCATCAATGGCCCTCTGGAAAATGCAAGCAGCATTCTTCAGACCGAAAGGGAGTCTTCTAAACTGTACCCATGGGATAGGGGTAGAGTCTGGCATAAACGTGCTCCTCATCTATTGTTCCAATGGTAACCACAACCGAAGTATTATAAGGTAAAACCTCATTAGGGTTTGCAAAAGCTCTTTTCCTGTCTTTGCGAATTTTTAATAATGCGTTCTTAATCAATGGGGCTTTACCACACGGCAGAACGAAAAAAGTTGCCTTCAAGTTGAAAATTGTATACTTATTTATTTGCAGGACTTATTATTTATATATTTACTACTAAATATTATTATTTTTTCAATATATTTATAAAATTGGCGCCTAGCGTCGTGTAGATATATTTTAAAAAAGTCAATAATGTAAAATGTAATAAATGTGTGAAGATGGTGAAATATAATAACAGTACGACTAGACTTTAGTTAATAAAACACACACAATTTATTTATCAATTGATTTTTGTGCTTTATTATTTAATAAATTTGAATTAGCACATTGCGTTTTAATTAATTCATTTATTAACTATAAAAAATATTGATATTTTAAAATAGAATTGATTAAAATCGAAAAAATCGATTATGATGGTCGAGTAATCGATTCTTAGGACCGAAGAATGTAAAATCGAAATTGAAATCGAGAATCGATTTATTATAAAAAGTTTTTTCCCTACTTGCAACTGAGGTTCGCTTCATCCATTATGAAGACGGCTTCGATATGTAGAACTCGTTGTCGAGTTCTAAATTTTCACCGCTCTCATATGAGCATAAGTTCACAAACAAATGCTTCATATAGTGAGGATCAGAACTCCAAAAGTTTCTCGGTACTTAATTGTTGCCTACCAGCAACGACTAACCTTTGTTCACAACTTCAGACAAATCCTTAGAGTGGTGATGACTATCTTCGACGCTATTACAACGTATGTATTAGATTTTATTGTAATAAAAGCTAAGATTATATTACAAGATGTGTTGCAATCGGGCGTAACTTAGTACGAACCCGTGCACGATCAGAAACGCTCTGCATGGTGGCATTGGCTGCGAAAGCTAGGACGTATTGATAAATTCCGATTAACATGTTGATACCTATTAGTTGCCCCGTTAAAGCCGCTGTCGATACCGGGACCTGAGTTGATGGAAGCCATTATAGGACTTCGCCTAGCTAAGTTCATAGGACAGTCTAAGTCTACCAGAAACGGTCTAAACAATCTTTGAATTCAAATAGCCTAAAATTGTAACAGAAACAGTACAACGCGTGATACTTGATTCATCAAAAACTGAAGGCATGAGAAGTGTTGCGAAGTTGTTTTTATCCGCTGGACCATACGTGCTGTATATATTTGAGATTTCACCGACTGAAATCGTTTATCTCACGACGGGGAGTTCCACGGCGAATCACTTTTGACAATGGCTTTAATTTCAGAGGAGCTAGTCGTTTTATTGCGGAAGAAATCGAGAAGATATCACATAAGGAAAAAATACCCTGGCTTTAAACTAACCTTCATATCACTAGCCTCACCAGATATGGGGGAGCATGGGTGTTATGGTTCGACCCAGAAAGTAATAATAATATAAATAAAATAAATAATATTATATTACGAAAATTGCCCATACGTCGATCTCAAAAATATACAATAAGAAACAGGTAGGCAATGTTCCACGTCCTATGAGTTATCGGTAGAGATCCGCGACTTAGACGAAATAAAAGGCGAAGAAATATAGTCGATTAAATCCGATCGCAAATTAAAGTGCTGAGATTTGCCATTGAATCTCAAAAAATGTAAGGCGATGTGATATCCCTGTAAATCTGTGCACTCCTCTCCTTATGTAGTAACAAACTATAGACTAGAGCAAGTTTTCAACTTGGTTGATTTGGGAGTTACTATGGACCCTAAACTTAATTCTTCACATTGATACCATGGTGTTGAAAGCCATAGGTGTTCTCAATTTCCTTAACTTAATTATAAAATATTTAGAGATTAAAAAAAAATGTTTTTCTTTCGCCTTAGGACATTTCCAGACAGTTTACAGTTCTTTTCTCCTCTGTTTGAAGTTAAATTTAATATCCCGGTCCGCTTTTCGTGGTAGCTTAGACCCTTACTGTTAAAATATTGTAGATCATTCCTGCACATTTGATTTATTTAACTCCCTTTTAAAAATGTGAAATACTTTGCTTTCTCCTAATAAATGAATAAAATCGAAAAAAAATTTATATCTTTTTAAATCTTAGCTGTTGAAATTTTTATTTATGTAGCTGAGCAGTTTTAGAACTCGACGCTTAAAAACTCTCTTGCCTTTCATGACTCGGCTATTTCCGCACAGAACTTTACTTTATATTGCTGCAGTATTTCCTAAGATATAGGATTTCAGCTTATCCAAAGTTTATATCGATTCCTTTGAAGGCCTTCCGTACCATCTCAGATGTGAAATTGAATGCCTCTGACGTATTCATCGCATTTCGTCCATTTTCTCGTTGTAAGAGGGGGTGTTAGAAAAACTTGTGTTCAGCGAGTTTAGTGGATTTAACTTTAGCGGTGTGATACATGTTTCTTATATCTATTAGGGGTCCATATATTTATAAATTTTAAACTACGAATGCCTATCCCTACTCTATTTGAAGTGATTCGGGTTTAAGAAACCCATTGTATAAAGTTTTATCAAGATATATTCAAGTTGCTTTTCCCGGTCTCACGTTCTTCTAGCTGGAGACGCAGAGAGGATCTATAATAAATGATCCTTGAATGTGTAGTGGACAGTAGCGAATTATTTGTATATAATGACAACTGAGTATTAACTATTTGATCTTTTAAGGAGTTGTCTAACTTCGCGCTCAATTTTCAGACCTATTTTTGATGATGGATTGCAATAAGCGATATTTGCTATTTGCTAATTTTTCTATTTCATTAATTAATTTATAAACTTCTAAAAAATAACAACTTTTTTATTGCTTTTATATCGTTTTTATTAGATTCACCTACATGTGTGTAGGTGGGACTGTAACAAAAGAATCAACAGTTTGATAAAACACATGCTTTTTACATTAGACTAAAAAGTGAAAAATAGATATAATTTAAAAAAAAAACTCAAAATCACGCTTTTAAAGCACTTTAAACGTAAAAGTGAAAAATAATATTAATGGACAAGCAGACAGACAACTCATCTCGTCATCCTAATTATTTTGATATATGTAGATATATAACTCTATCTATCTCGATTAGTTAGAGATGTTATAAACTATCGTTTGATGACCAATTTGTTATCTATTGTAATATTAGGTAAAGTAAAAGGTTCGTTCGGTTTTTATCTCTTAGATATGGCGTTATTGTCCATAGTACTAGTGTTACGTGTCGCATCATGTCATACTATACGGCGCAGAAAACGTGTTTATTCGGGCTAAAAGTTTGTCTTTGATAGTTTTTCGATTGATTAGCTCAGTTGGACTCGTCAAAGATGGACACCAGCAAAGAGAAAATTCGCTATACTTTACAATTTTTCTTCGACAAAGGCGAAAAAGCAGCCAAAGCGGCTGATAAAATTAATTTAATTTATGGACCCGATACTGTAAACGAACGTGTAGCACAAAAGCGGTTTGCTAGGTTCCGTTTCGGTAATTTCGATGTCAAAGATGCACCACGCGTCGGGAGGCCTTTCGTCGAAAATTGCGATAAAATCATGGAAATAGTGAAAACAGACCGTCACGTGGGCACTTATTTAATTGCTGAGGAACTAAAGATAATCCAGAAAACCGTTTGGAACCATTTGCATCATGGATTCAAAAAGAAGCTCGATATTTGGGTGCCACATGAACTAACGCAAAAAAACATGATGGACCGAATTTCCATCTGCGAATCGCTGCTGAATCGCAACAAAATCGACCTGTTTCTCACTTACGACAACATCGAGCATAAACGGTCTAGGTCAAAGCTCGGAGAAGCGGCCCAGGCGGTGGCCAAGACCGAAATGACGCCAGGAAGGTATTGCTGTGTGTTTGGTGGGATTGGCAAGGAATCATTTACTACGAGCTGCCCCCTATGGCCAGACGCTCAATTCGGCCATCTACTGCCAACAACTGGACCGCTTGAAGGCAGCACTCATCTAGAAGAGGCCATCTTTGATCAACAGAGGCCGAATTGTGTTCCATCAGGACAACGCCAGGCCACACACGTCTTTAGTGACTCGCCAGAAGCTCCTGGAGCTCGGATGGGAGCTAATGCACCCAACTTATAGTGCAAACCTGGCACCAAGTGATTACCATCTTTTCCTGTCCATGGGGAACGCGCTTAATGGTGAGAAGTTGGCCTCAAGAAAGGCCGGTGAAAATTGGCTCTCCGCGTTTTTTGCCAATAGGGACTACACTTGCTATGCCACAAAATTAATTGGAAAGTCCAAAATGCGCATAAAGGTATATTGTGACAAAGATAAGGTGTGGACATATTGTGTTTACTTTTGTTAACAACATATTGCTTGATAACATATTTCAACACAATTTTAAATTTAAAATAATTTAATTTCACTCATTTCCGCCAACAAGCTATAATATTTGGACCAATATCCGATATTACGTCAACCAGAAGTTGAAAAATCCTTAATATATGCTTAATATATTACAGGAAGTTGATATAGCTGCAGTGATTTGTTAGATATTTACATTAAACCTATTGGGGTCGTAGTTATGCCTTCATTTTTTAAATTATTTAACCACAGGTACCCCAACTACGCTACTAAGGTCTCTTTTACCAAATTACAGTTTTGTGTCGTAATTTGTTTTTACTAGAGCAGTTTTAAATTTTGCACTTAACTTTATTTTATGGGCGTTGCAATGGGTCAATTGTGCCTATCTGCAATACAAACCTCCTCAGGGTGCCAAGTTCCATCAAGTTTTACTTTACTTTACTTGCACAGGCCGACGAACAGATAAATATGAATCTAACACATCTCGTCACCCTGACAAAACAACAGTTACGTACTCAGTACAACACAGTACGAACCTATACAAAGAGTGAATTATGCATTCTAAAGATGTTTGACAATAATTGTAAAAATCAGTATGATATTTTAATTGATCCTGGACATTGAAAGTTTAGACCAAATTATATAATTATTCACAAGTTTACTTATGAGCGGTTGAAATATTGGCACTTGGGAAATGTTCGGCAACAACCAATCTGGAACATAAAAGCGGAAGAGGGAAAGGAAAAAAAGAAGTAAATGAAATTAAAGGTTAGCGAATGTTAGATCAATTCTGATTGAGTTAAGAAGAAGTAAACAAGGTAAATACATGTACGAAAATAACATTATTATTACTTTATAGAAACAGTGCTGACACAATAATTCAAACATAAATTTCATAAATAGTAAGTAATTTTTAAATATTTTTATTTCTTTTTACTAAAACTATTGGAATCGGTTTTGCCGGAAGTGCAATACATCCCATATTTATTTCTATATTATTGACATTTTCGTAATATACATTAAATTGCCTTAATATGTTAGCTACTAAAATGAAACCAAAACCACGTACTAAATTCTGCCCAATACATGTTCTTTTACCTATACTGAATGGTAAGAAATATGGCATGTTTTTTTTTATTTGCCAAAATTGGCTTTTGGTTTTTTTAACTTCGTTTGGATTCATATCGGGTTTCTCAATGGAGTATTCCAAAAACCTCTCCGGTTGGAAACAATTAGGCTTCTTCCAGTAAAACTTATTGTGGTTTAGGTTATGGTTATTAATAAAAACAATAGTGTCTTTTGCAACTCCATAACCACATATTACAGTATCTTCAGTTGCCACATGTGGGACTATCGGAGAGGACGAACATCTTAAAACCTCGAGGATTGTAGCCATAGTAAAAGGCATAGAATCGATATCATAAAAACTGATTATTCGCTGTTCTTTACCTGAAACTGAATCTGCCTCTAATTGAATTTTGTTTGCAACATTGGGGTGTTTAACCAAATATATCAGAGTAAGCATAACTAAATTTCCTACTGCTGAGTGTCCTCCAATAAAATCTTCTAACATAAACATTATAGTGTCGCGTGAAACATTTTTGTCCTCAGTGAGGCTATTGAGTAAAGCATCTGTAAAATCTTCTTGTGGTTGAGAAGAGTTTAACTCATTTCTTTTATTTATAATTCGGTTTAAAATAAATCTGCGTATAGTCGATGACCAGTGAATTAGTTTACTCATATGGTTTTTGTAGAACAGTGCCAACCAAGGTAAGAAGTCAACCGCATATCCTTGGTTTATTTCCCAAAAGATTTCGTCGAAAAAGTCAACGACTTCACAGAAATCGTAATCATTATATTCAAAACGCACAGAACACATGTATTGAAAGAACATATTTGCACAAGCTCGTTGAACAAACGACTTTATCGGTATATGCTTACTATTATTATTTGATTCCTTAAGCTTCTCTATCAGAATTTTAGTCTCTGAGCATCCAACATTCGACATCTTACTAAAATAAGGAGATGTGTCCCGCGGTGAACAATGTCTTCTAGCCAGATTGCGCCTCTTTTTTTGCAGAATTGACCAATCACAAAGGGCTAGAGCTGAGTAATTAAAAAACCAAATGAATTTTTTTATTATTTCAATATATAATATGTAGATGTTTAGTACATTGAATTATATAGCAGAAATTCTAAAATGTTCTCGTCGGATTTGATCATTTGAATTCTTGATGACAAATCTCTTTGTGGTCAGTAAAAAATATCTGCCAAATTTATATTCAGAATAGAGCTAATAATCACTATGACAGATATGCCTTCACGACCTTCATCTTTCACCTACTTTTGGAATGAAAGTAAAGTATAATAAAGGAATTATGTTATTACATAAATATATATGCAAGTATACTGATGTATATATTCAGTACAGAACCAAAAATGTTCACGAATATCATTATATTAATTTCAGCCCTAACTACCCCAATATCTTTTTATAGACATATATAGTTATCTTATATTATATTATATAATGAACAATATACACAGTATAACTAAACATATTAATAACGAAAATTGTTGTATAATGAATTTGGGGCTAGAGGAAGAGTTTAGGGCCTGACCACATTATTATATATACTGACTTTATCCATTAAATTACTTCTCAAATTTAAAAATTTTAAATTTAAACTCAGTCAGTGGAATAATCTCAAGGAATTTTAAATAATTTTGTATTAGAAATCTCAATCCATTTCTCAACTCGGACATAAGCAGGCAAGGAAAATGGTTTTGACCAAATTTGAGTGCTACAATCGCCATTACCCAAATTATTCAGTTTTTTTTTTTTTTAATAATATTATTTAAGGATAATACAATATTATATTATTAAATTAATAATCTAAAACAACTATGCCCAATGCCACCGTTACAATTTTGCGTTGAAACTTCAGCAATTTTAAGAGAAACAAGTAAGGAAGGGATAAGTTCGGGTGTAACCGAGCATTTCATACTCTTGCAATTTGCAAGAATCAAAGCCGGCTAAATACCTTCAGGTGTTGGCACTATTAAAAAATATAGCGAAAGAGTTCAACTTCATTGTTCGCCCAACAATCAAATTTGGTATATTTTAACTATGGACTCCCTTAGTTTATTTACTATATTTTACTTCCCGTCAGCGAAAATTATACTTAAATCATCTCATTTCCTTCAGTTTCTCACTGCCGGTAGTGGTTCTTATAGGGTTTTTCCTAAGCGAACTTAGTTATTGTAACTTTAGTGGTTTAGGAGATATATACATTAAACTTATTAGCCCATCTATGAACTCATCCTCACTTTTTTGCCAAGGAACACACACTTTCGTCTCGTCATCTTGATCATTTATGGTATATATATATACTATTATACTCTGTAGCAACATGTTGCAAGAGCTAGTTGATTTATACTCTATGTACAGACGGCATAGTGAACGTGTGAAGAAAACGCAAAGAGATGGATTTTACATATTCTGCAGCAACTTCTCTCCATCCACATCACGGTCGTGGGTGTGTGAGCAGCGAAAAATCCGCTACGATTGCCTCTGCGACGTAATGATCTAGGTTTTCAGGAATGCAGTTGATGGAGAAAATGTCGGCGTCTCCTAAATCAGACCTCTTCATATACACACACCTCGGATCAAAGCACCTGCCGACAATGTCCACGGGTGCTACGATTATAATGGCATAAAGTGCTATTGTTGATGTAGCCCGTAGTGCACCGGGGATGCCAATGAGAGCCGCTCTTTGAACGCGTTCAATCTTTTTAGTAAGTGTAACGTTTTCGAGCGCCCTTCAAAGCAGTTAAAAGTCAGCGAAATTTATATTAAAATCATCCTCACATGAGATATATCTGACATAAACTTAAAAGAAGAGGCTAATTTAAATATATTGAGTTGATGTGCAAAACGTCAACCAGAAGATGGCAATTGATGATATTAGGGACCCAACTCCAATATATATATTATATCTTACATATTGACCGATATATACGGTATTAAGCCAACCGAAAGTTTGAAAATCTTTTGTTAGGTATATGGGGAATTGACACGATCTTATCAAATTTTGGCATTACTACATATTATTAATAGAAACATATGCCCTCTGAGTTTCATTAATGTACCTCCCATACCGTCAACAATATATAAGTCAACCGGATGTATAAGTATTCTGATATTAGTTTAATGGGGAGCAAGTTTTCACCCGATTTTATCCATTTGAGGCACAGAGCTGCACCATTAAAAGAAAAACACTCTCACTCAATTTAATTAAGATATGTCACATATTGGCCGATATATGTACAAATGGGGTATAAAATCAGCCGGAAGTTCAAAAATATATATACATATTATATGTATATCTCACACATTGACCGATATTTTCGGTATAAATTCAGCCATCCGTTATGGGGTCTACATTTCCGGTCTCTGGGGGCTTAAATGGTTATGGTCCGATCTAGAAAATATTTAGACTTGAGATAGCATACAATAAAGGCGAAATTCGGGCAATTTTTATTCCGATATATTAATTGGTGCTTAGTTTGTATACCGGAAACTGAAAATGTCAGATGGAATTTAAAGTTGTGTTGGAGGTAGGCGTAGTTGTAGTCCGATTTCGTCCGTTTTCGCAATGTAACTTGAGAATGTCAAACTAGTCATAGGAGCCAAATTTGGTTTAAATTGTCGGAGTATGTTCGGAGATATGTAATTTCACTAAAATGTTTTTGGTGCCACTCCCATCGTCCAATTTTATCACTTGCTCCTATAAAGAAATCCCTCTTGTGCAATCTCTGGCGCATTTAGTTATCAATTTATTGTAATTTGTAATTCGTAATTTTTACCAAAATCATGCTTAGCTTGTATACCGTAAATTGTTATGCGATTTCACCTATTATTTGTATTGTGCAAATTTGGGTGATATAGCTCAAACGGTTTGGGAGATATATAGGTACATTAAACCTATCTGGGGGCGGGGCCAAGCCCGCTCTTTAAAAATTTTCAAACCACAGGTGCGGCTTAGTTTTGGCAATTTATACAAAGGGTTTCGATTAAATTTCATTACGATATCTCAAATTTTACTCAAGTTACAGCTTGTACAGACTGACGGACGGACAGGCAGTCCCTCGGAATGTAACTCTTCTCTTTGAAAATCTTTATATTAGGTATATGAGGGCTAAGGGAAATATTAGCCCGATTCAACCCATTTTAGACATTTAGAGATACCATCATCGGGAAAGAATTCTCTCCGAGTTTAAATTGTATATCTCACACATTGACCGATATTTTCGGTCAAAAGTCAACTATAGGCACTGGGGTCCACATATTCGGTACAAAGGGGCTTGAACAGTTTTAGTTCGATTTGGACAATATTTGGTCATATGGTGTCACGCTTAAGAGGGACTATTCGTGCAGAGTTTTGTCACGATTTATTAATTGGTGCTGTATTTGTACAAGTATACTGGAATGCGGCGTGGTTGTAATCCGATTTCCGCCATTTTCGCACTGTATTATTGGAGTATTGTCAGAATTTTATGCAATGAATTTGGTTGAAATTGGTAGAGCAGGTTTCGAGATATGTAATTTAAGTAGGTGGTGCCACAACTACTTGACGTCTTTAGTTATTGATCAATCACACTTTTAGTAGTTTTAAAGAAAACCGGTATTTGGGGAGTGGGCGGTGTTATCATCCGATTTCACCTATTTTCACACTATCGTAAGAAGAGGGCACCTTGAAATTAACTCACAATTCTACAATATTTTAATGAAGATATGAGAATAATTCGTAGTAAAAATTGATTGCATATGCAACATTTGTATGTTATGTATCCGTCTGGGCAAGCGATAGCTTGAGTAACAACTGACGCATCTTAATGAAAATTTTCACACTTACTTGACATTTTGAGAAGGTTCAGTTTCCACTATGTTACGCATACAACTTGCTATGGCAATACATAATACGCAGCAGAAAACCTTTGTGCCTATGCACGATTAGTAGTACTTAATCCGAATTCCATAAAAAGCTTTCGAGAAACTAATTTAATACATATCTTAAGCACTTAAAAATATTAACAAATATATAATAATATAAACATTGATCATATGAAAATATTATCTTACAATTATTTCTGTCTCCTCCAAAGAGTTGATGGTATCTCATGAAATTTGGCCGTCCTCCGAAAAATTTGCCGTTTTGATTAAGTACTTCTTTGATCAATTCCAAATTATTTATAACGATACATTTGGTAGCTCCCAGTGTTAACGAGTATATGTTTCCAAATTTTTTAGAAAGATCCGTAAATAATTCTGCAGTGGGCTTTTGAGATGCTAACAAATGTAGATTACCAAGTATTGGCCATGGCAAGGGCCCTGGTGCTTGTTGATAAAATTTAGCTTCTTTTGAAGGTTCAGTTGTTACCACTTTGATCTTACGGAAATGTTTATTTAATATGAGGAGATACCAAAAGCTCATTGTTGCAATAATTAAGTAACACAAAAAAAGCATTGTTAATTGTTGAAAACTAATCCAGGTAAGGTTCGAGTTGTGAACGTTTCGTTCCAACTAATATTCTTATCTAAAATATATCTAAACAAATTGAAGAAAGTAGTGCTTATTCGACATTTTAAATTCTAGATGTAGCAGTTTTCGCAATTTTTTTTAAAAATATGTTAATTTTATGTCTACATAAATTTGATATCTTCGGTATCGTTGTTATTTACATGACTAAAGCCATGCATGTGGATTTATGTGCATGCATTATTTTAAACTGAAGCTCAGTAATTATCATATGAAAAAGAATACCTTGTAGGGAAAATTATTCCAACTTAAACATTAGTTTTAATATAATAGTTTGAAGCACTTGAATATAAAATGTATATTTCGCATTTCAACGCATTTTTACTTATTGAACACCATTTTATGATTAAATTCTCAAATAATTTATTTCATAAATATAATATGCTATTAGCAATACGGCACACAGTAAATCAATGGTTCTTTGGGATAAATAGCTAAATTTCGACATTGCTTACGTATACTCAAGGACATATTTTCAAGAAATTTTATAAATATATAACTCACACACAGAAAGACATGTTTGAACATACAGAGGTTCGAATTTCAGTTCGTCAGGTCATCCTAATTATTTTTTATACTCCTGCAACATTTAGCTACAGAGTATAATAGTTTTGTCCAACTAACGCTTGCTGTATTACCTAAAACTAATTGAGTAAGATATAGGGTTATATATATAAGTGATCAGGATGAAGAGCCGAGTTGAAATCCAGGTGACTGTCTGTCCAAGCTGTAATTTGAGTAAAAATTGAGACATCATAAAACCAGTAAAGTCGTCGATGGACGTAAGCGGACCACTGCCACATCCACATAAAGCCATCAATCGAAAACCTATAAGTTACCATATCTAAGACACAAATTAAGATACAAAACTGTATGGCACCACCCACATTTAAGTGATATCACATATCTCCGGACCACTCCACCAATTTAAGCCAAATTTTATACCTAGCATAATTTTGAAATTCTTATATTACAGTACGAATAATGGGCGAAATCGGACTACAAAAATGCCTACCTACCGTATAATACAACTTTAAAATCCATCTGATATTATCACTTTCCAGTATACAAATCAAGCACCAGTAAATATTACGGGATAAATATTTGCACGAATATTTCCTTTATAGCTATTCAAGCCTCCAGATACCGGAAATGCGGACCAGAGAGTTTATGTCTGTCTTTCTACCGAAAATATCGGTCAATGTGTGAGATATATTATTCAATTTATTAGAGAACCTTTTCCTCATGATAATATGTCTGTATGTCAAAAATTGGTAGAATCGAGTCAATATTTCCTTTAGCCGCCATATGCCTAATAGAAAGATTTTCGAATTTCCGGCTGACTTTATACCTCATATATCGCCCAATATCTGAGGTATCATTAATAAATTGAGTCAGAGTATTTTTGTCTAACGGTGCATCTCTTAGCCTTAAATGGATAAAATCGGGTGAAAACTTGCACTGACCCCCATTAAACTAATATCAGAATACTTATACTAGAGAACTTAGAAGAAGTATTGGAAGTATTTTAAGAACCATTTTTCCAAACCTATAGCTTATGATCCTAATAGCCTCGCATAGAGAACGGATTAACTTCGCGTTAAACAGAAAGTTGTCGACAATATTCTTCGGTTCTTTTTAATCATGTTATCCTTCAATCGTGCGAATGGAGCGAGGAGTTGCGGAGAAATGTTCTGATAGAGGTCAAACGTGAGCCTCTGGAATGAAATGGAATATCCGTCTTGTCCATGATATTTAATATATTTCGTTTCCACACCTCTCGCAGCGTAGAGAGTGCTCGAGTGATTTGTTTATACAACCGACACTTTTACCACTTGTGAGCTGCAGTTGAGGACCTTCTTTTTTTGCCGATGAAGCACCCGTCAATCTATCCAATATTCCCCTACTATAGGTATCGATCAGCATACTTTGAGCCCTGCTTCACCCCACCATTCATAGGTTGCGGAATACTACAACAATCAGGCTTACATCGAAATCCCAACACCGATACGGAAATTAACCGATTGACATAATGCTCACTGAAATATTATCGCCAAATTTTACTAAGGTATCTTACGAATCAACGGACTCACTGTTCCAATTCCAGAACTTCCATAGCGATTTCACTGAACTGCATTATTGCAAATTAGTGCTTTCACAAATTTTTTAAGACTTAAAAATTTTAAGTCATTAGATTAAATTTTATATATTTTCTAATCTAGACTATCCTCACTGCCACTAGAGATTTATAAAACAGCTGTTTTTGACATTATAAATTTACATCGTACAAAATATATTTAAAAAAAATTGTTATGTTGTTATACTTTGTTATAAATAAAAGTCTTCTTGTTTTAAATATTTTCAATTTAAGTCGATTGCCGGTTGAATTCAGATACATTGCTTTTAATATATTTGTCTCTTTGTATTTTTTTCCCCTTTGCAGGATCTAAAACAACTGTGATGATGTGATAAATTTCCTTACTGACAAACAAATGTCGCTAAATCAGAGTCGCACAGGGAGATTTCGAGTATATTAGCTTCAAATCACCTCACTGACGAGATTACAAGTGTACTTTTTGTATGGCGAAATCTTGCTACATTCAATAGATTAGTGAGATAATCCACTCAACAGCTTAAATCTCTGTTGAATTTTGATTTCTATGCTGTGTGATCAGAGAACTTAGAAGAACGAGAAGGTGCAAGTTTGACAGCGAACATTTTTATTGTAAAATTTTATCAAGGAGTTACGCTAGTACGCAGGAGAAACAAACAACATTTCTTGCTTTTATAACACCGGTGAATCTGTACACACACGCTCTCTTAACATAACCAACCGGCGAATATTGAAGAGAGAATAATATGTATGCCAAACTGGGAATATTGATATGCCATTTATAATATATTTCCTTTTATTGAACTATTATTTATTATTTTTTTAATTATTTTATGTCAATTCATTTTTACTTTATTATGAGAAATATATAAAAATACTTTTTAATTATTACTAATAAAAGATATATTTCTTAAAATAATTCATGTACTTGACACCATTATGAAGTCATAAAAGCAGAGAACTTAGAAGAACGAGAAGGTGCAAATTGAATTTTGTATGATGCTCGATTGGATGACAAACAGAGCTGAAAAATTGAGATCAAGGAGTTCACCATTTTCTGTAGTATTTGCTGTTATTGAACAGAAATGAGAATTTATAACAACGTTCTCTTGCAGAAATACGTATCTCCAAACATAAAGAGAAATGAATGAGAAAACAAAAAATACAAATGCCACTTCACATATTCATGATTATTTTTTGTCATATAAACGATTTTTATGATAAAAATTGATCAAATATATTGTTTTTTGCACAAATGAGGCATGATAAAATGCGAAAGATTATGCAAAAAAAAAATATTTTATCAATTTTTATCATAAAAATCGTTTATATGACAAAAAATAATCATGCATATGTGAAGTGGCATTTGTATTTTTTATTTTCTCATTCATTTCTCTTTACTTTTTCAATAATTTTCTAATTTCAATTGTTACAGAATTATTAATTTATGTGTGTACATATGTACATCAATATGTTATATTATATAATATAATAATATATTATATTATCACTTATCAATAAATACAATACATGTGCGCGCACTGCTCTATATGTAAGTATGTATGTACAAATATGCGTATGACATTGCAAAATAAGTAATGCATACGTAAATCTACATATATACATATATATGCGTACAAATGTAAGTATATGAGCCAATAGAAAAAATACAAAAACAACAATTTTCTCAAATAGCATGAGCAGCGTCAGAAACCAATATGGCAGCCAAATTGAGAAATCCTAAATTTGTAGTAAATCACAAAACAACAACATTTTCATTAATGAACGCTGGCGCACATGCAATAAGCTAAGTCGTTTCATTCATAAAAGCAAACGCCTTACACATCTCCCCGAGCATGCGCTAGAAATCATAAATTGAACAACTTTTTGTTGTTCCCTCTAGAAGGGAAAAGTGACAACCCCGCAAGCCCACAAAACACAGGAAGAAGTGGCAACAAAGGTTTTGTCGATTTAAAATATTTTACAATTCTAAAATATTTTTCCGTGACTGATATGTTGATTTGTGTGCAAAACTGTTTGAGCGGCAAGGGAAGCGGTGACAATCGGCGAGCGTTCGTTTATTTTTCGGCACATCTCGGATTTTCTACCAACAACAGAATGTTGTGACGCTTTGTCTTCGCGGCAGTCCTTCGACAGATAGGATCATATTTTATCAATTTTTATTATAAAAATCGTTTATATGACAAAAAATAATCATGCATATGTGAAGTGACATTTGTATTTTTTGTTTTCTCATTCATTTCATTTTTTTTCTCTTTATGTTGGGAGATACGTATTTCTGCAAGAGAACGTTGTTATAAATTCTCATTTCTGTTCAATAACAGCAAATACTACAGAAAATGTTGAAATCCTTGATCTCAATTTTTCAGCTCTGTTAGCCGTCCAATCGGGCATCATACAAAATTCAAATTGCAGCTTCTAGTTCTAAATTCTCTGGTTAAGCATTGATAGGTCTCAGAATTTTCCTAGTGTATGCTTATAGGCAAGATTTTTCTTTATTGTTGCCGCTCTTTTCATAGAGATGTTGTGGTTGTTGTTGTAACGGTTACCTAGTCCCCGTTTGGGTGATAAATTCCAGATTGGTTGTCGTCGAGGTCATCTAACGGGAGGCCCAGGAAACGAGCTGTTTCAACGGGGTCGGACCATAGGGAAAAGGGTGTTAGATGAGTAGGGTTCGTTGGGCATGCAAAGAGGTGGTTAGTGTCATGCGGAGACTCATTGCACGCAGGACATGTGTTTGGTATGTAGGGGTCTATTCTGGATAAGTAGGAGCTTAACCTGCTACAATATCCAGAACGAAGTTGCGCGAGGGTCACTCTGGTTTCGCGCGGCAATTCGAGCTCTACGTCTGCTATGGGTGGTGGTTTGACTCGTAATACGCCATTCAC